ACCTACGTATTGATTCCCAAATACTGTTTATATGCGAATTTTGATCTGATTGTTAGTTGAAATGAAATTCGTGATATACCTATTGACGCTTATTAGATGTTAACATTCATTTGAATTATAGCGAGAAGAATGCTTTGATTTTATGCCATTTCAGAACCAGATAAAATTATGAAAACAGAAATGAAGATTTCAACTACAGAATTCGAACGATACAATATACCGAAAGCAACTGAAGTTACTGTGAATCTGAAAGAATTCCGAGTTAGTTTGATGAATATTTTATGCAGTAATCACTCATTACATAGATAATTTATCACTTGTTTCTTTATTTCACAAAGAATACGTTTACTAACCAAATTGTCCAATGGTTTCATACTGTTTTTCTTTGCCAAGTTTCAATTTTCTGCTTTGCATTTTCTGACATGTCTCATAGTCAGCATTAAGATTTCTGCGTTTTCGTGAAAGATACATTTTTCGATTGGTTTTTTATACTAATGATTATAGTTCGAGTGAGTATTTCACTAAATTAATGAATTATTTTAAGGCGTTGGTTAATTTCGCAGAAACCTATCAAGCTCCGATCAGTGTTTACTTCGATCAGCCAGGAAGGTGTATATTATATGTTCAGTACTGTATGCAGGTTTTTTTCCGTAATGGAGAGAGGGAGGACGATTCGAGATAGAAATTAAAAACTGCATCCGTTTGGTGTTTACCACTCAAAACAGATCGTGAATGGATCTGATGTGAACTGAATCTCCTAAAGCTAAAGTTGTACAACGTATCAAACTTATAAAACTGAAAAAAGTGACGTAAAAAATGATTCAAACGAGAGATATGCAGCCATTCATAATATCACTTCAAGTGAATAGTTTTCACTTTGATGACTCTAGCATAACTCTAATAACTTGCTACAATGTTGTGCAAGTGATAATACGCTTATTTACGATATCGCCGTATCATAATTGATACCACAAAGTATATTTTCTAATTGCGTCTCCCTCTAAACGCCACCAATATAGAGTACGCACTTTTCAGTCCGATGGTACTCGCGTTGGAGAGTGACGTGAATTTCACCGCAGAACTTGTGATCGCGACCGTTGACTTTGACTCGTCGATAATTGAGCCGAATTTTTGTACTGCGGCCGTTGAGAGTTCGAATGAAATCGAATGCGCTTCATCGTTGAGGCAAGCGGTGTCATCATCAGTGCAGCAAAATGCTCAAAAACCAATCGAAACACAAAGTCAAAATCGACTATCATCCCTTAACAGTCAAATGCACAATCAACAATCTAATCACAGTCATAATCAATCATCAACATCCCTTCAACACCAAAACCAATCACCGCAACAAATCAGTCACGATCGACGTTATTCAATTCCATCACCTAAATCTGCACCTAATCAATCGCAACACGATCATCGCACACATCTTCCTCAAACACCTCCACCACCTCAATCTGAAGCACCCGATAATACCGTGCTATCACAAGCGGTTGCCAATCAAAAATCCAAATCACAGTCATTCGCGCATGGATCAGTCGCAACTTCTACCGTAACAATGCCACCGTCATCTTCAGATGGAACCGTTGAATCCGTAAAAGCAACGAATGGCCATGACGAAGGATCGAGTGTGAAGAAGCGATGTTTAAGAGAAAGTAACGAAAATGAAAACAGGAATGAGATCAGTCATTCGACGGTTGTAGAGAATTCGGTTGTTGAAAATACGATAAATGATGAAAGATTATATCCGAATAACAATGCTGACAGTGATAAAGATGATGATGACGACGTTGAGATGTTTCCTGAAAGTCCATCTCCACCTCCGTCTAAATCCGTTAGTTGTATCATCTTATGTTCATTCACTCATTAAAAGAAGCGTTTGAATGCTTCTATCAAAACCGAATTGATCCACACGCATTCAGAGGCGATTATGCTTATGCCTTTTATTGACTTTTTTTTTTAAAATTTCGAAAGAAGGGCTTTTTGTGATGTGGCATGTATCGTATTATATT